ACACAGGCAGGAAAATTTTTGAGTAGCTAGGGACCGAAATTCGTATTATGTTCTCCCTAAAGTCCTGCCGTGTCGCACTTTGTGCACGGGAATTGTTTCCACTTTTCCGATTAGCTGAGGTGCGATCTTGTTTCACAGACGGTAAACTTTACTTCATTGCGGAACGATGACTTCGAATGTGAAGTAGATTGTGACGTACGGTTTTCGTCAACGTAACAGGAAGGTATATATATATATTTATGAAAGTATACACGTATAAATTCTGTAATGTCAAAATAAAACTGAGAATTCTTTTGAAACTAAAAATGATGCTAAGGCTTTATGCATAAGAAGAGTACATAGATAAAATTCGTATATAGTAACTTCGCATGTAGTAATAATTCTTTTAGTATGATGGTAACTGTATTGGATAGTTCAGTTTTTTAATATGAAAGTTTAATAAGTATTGGGATCCGTCAAATGGGCAAACACCATCTGGTGGCAAAATTTATAACTCGAATGAGGGAAAAATTTACATAGGAACTGTGCACGCAAATTGTAAAATGGTTTATTAAAATAATAAAACACGTTAAAAAAGTAAAAATTTTTTTGATGATGGAGTCGACGAAGTTTTCTTCTAAAGTTAAATCAAATAAAAAGTTAATATGTTCAGTGAAAAGCTGCAATACCACTTCAGACATAGATCTTCACTCTTCACCTACATTAACTACTTTCCAATAAAAACTAACCGTTTTATATATGTAAAAAGTATATTCGGAAAATTAGAGAAAAAACTAAACTAATAGAACATTGGATGAAAGCAGTAGGTATCAAAGAAGTGAATTCCGGAATAAAAATTTGTTCACGTCATTTTAATGCACATGATTATATTTCAGCAAGTATTTACCATCGGCCATAACCTTAATATTTAAAACTAGAATCATACTAAAATTATAAAGTGAGAAATTATTTATTCCTGTGTAATTGATTTAACACAATTCTAATGATACGATATAAGTATTTTGAGGTTAAGAACCTACCTGCTGCAATACAACAAAGTTGCAATAATGTGTTTGCAACGTTCTCTTAAATCGGCTTTGCACGTGCAAGTCATTGATATGATATTGCTTAAATCACCCAGAATCACCTCACCAATTATTTAACGTGAATCACTTTTTAAATCCCAAGTTTGTAAAAAGTAGGCAGTAAACTTGACGAAATTTGAAGGCTAGCTTCCGGATTTGTTATTTCCGAATTTTATAATGTGATTGGCATTAAAAACACGCTCACCTTCAACGAAATTTCCTTTCCTCAGCCCAATCACATATTGTGTCAATACTTACCATTTTATCGTAATTTAAAAACTTGGAAATTGCACGATACACTATAGGAACTACGATAAATTTTCCCTAATCGGCGCCATGTTTTTAGGCTCCTCCCATTTGACGGATCCCAATACCCATAATATATTTCAACTTAATCAATGAGTAACAATAAGGCCGGTGACAGACTTGCGACTGTGCCGCGCGGTGACACCGCTGTAACTACTTTGAAATGACGACATACTTGTTGCAACGCTATATCACGATTTCGCCCTAAAATGAAGTGCAAACAAAATTGTGTGCATATCGTATCCAGTAATAAGGCGAAAACAAAAAAGAAGTTACTCGGTTCATCCCCTAAATACTATACTTGACATAGTTTCGCACTCTAAATGTAATTTCTCGAAAAATTTATCCCAATTACAACACCACTGTTACTGTTTGCATTCAACAGTAAGAATAAGTATTTGAATAAATTACTGATGTTAAGAGTATCTAAAAACTAGTTAAACTGTTGGATTTAAAATGCTTATATTATAAAATTTCAAATAATGTCATAAACAACACTAAATTTAAAAAAATGCCCATCGCCGCAAGTACGAACGTGTTCATTAAACCAAGGAATTAGATCGATTGTGCCAGAGCCATATTCCGCGGCCCAAACGCTGCTCGCCGTGACAAAATTCCTGCAAGCGCGGTTACAACGTCGCCGCTAATATTACACCTCGCATAAAATACAAACTGCCGCGAGTCGCTGCAGCGATTCCGCACAATAAATTGCAAGTATGTGACCAACCCCTTATAATTACTTATTTCTTACTACGACAGTCCAATTGATTCATCCAAATTGCGATAGTGGGCACTGTTGTCGATAGTCATGGCTTAGTATAAAGATCTATACAGTAGGTTCATACCTTTAATCTGCCTAAAATACTGACATTTTTACAGGTCTTCATACATTAACTTTATGTTTGCTGAACTGTTATATACGAGGACGGTTTAATAGCTGTACTAAAGTGTTTAAAAGCAAAAGATATTTGTGCTGTGACATCTCGATGACACTCTGTACAACCCAGTCCGTGCTTAGCGGAAAAGCCGTAGATGAAGTGACGAAGCGTCAGCAGGAAAGGGTTGGGTAGGCGTGGCTGAGAAGTGAACCCACTGTAGAGAATCTTTGTACTTTCGTCATGACACTTACCTTTTAATCATGTTTCATATTTGCGTAAATGTTGCAAAAATGGGAAAAGTGTCTTGTGCCTGTTATAATAGTCATTGTCGTTAAATTTTTTGCAAGCTGAAACTTTCGTAAAAGATAATGACACTATGAGAGCTAAGTTCCTCGAGCGGCCTGTATAAACTTCCCAACCTTATGTGTTTTTTACGTCTTTGTTCTCTGGGTTTTCCGAAACATTTCTCGTGTCACTTTCCGTTCGGGTCACAGACGAAAATTTGTTGGGAAAACAAACATTACTTACGAAACCTTTCGATTTTCATAATATTTATTTAGGACGAGTCGCGTTCTCGGCTCCCAATTCCGGGACAAAACCCGAAAAATACATTAACTCCTAACCTTTGCTGACCACGAATCCACGAATTGTCACTTCTACTTACCCACATAAACTATTACGATCATGTTACAAAATGAATCGGTTCGAGTGGTAGTTATTGAAAAAAAAAAAACGTACACAAAATGTTAAAATAGTATGAGAAAAAATGCTTAAAACTGTTGTGGTAATTTCTAAAATGTTTTTTGCTCGTAAAGAATATTTGAATCGTGCTCAGATTCAAAACTTTTGTAATCTGCTACTAGGTGGCGCAGTATGTTGATGAAAATCATTTGGGTTGTATCGCTTTTAGACCAGAAAAGTGGTTTGTAAACAAGAATAGGAAGAAAATTGTGATCCCAACTATTAGTATTGTTGTGAAATATAAACATTAACGTTGTTCCTAAGTGTTTTACTTTTTCGTGAATAGAGAAGGTTTGAAATGAAGAGGTTTTAGAAAGAATAGCAGAACAGAGGACTTAGAGTCAATAGGAAATAGGCGAGGTATATTGGGCATGAAGAGCTAGTCAAAGGCATGTTGGAGGCAGAAACAGGAGTTAAGAGGAGTAGAGGTAGACCTAGATTATATTACTGTTTCCAAATAATTAAGGATGTGGGATGTTCTAGTTTTAAAGAGCGAAGCGTGTTCAACCAGTCTTAGGACTGACGACCTTTTGATGCTGATGAAGGATGTGATAAAACTTACAATTTCTCGCAAAACAAAAATTACATTTTTCTATTAATGGCATTAATTTGATTTCCTAGAAACTAAAAGGGGAAACTTTATTATTTGGAGTAACAAAACACTAAAATCAGCGTAAAGTATTCAATTAAAATTAAAAATATCTTAACTTTATTTATTAAAATCTTATTGTCTTACAAATCTCGGTAGTAATACCATAAATATGGTTTTACAACAATATAATGGTTATGATAGTAGTGAAACTTAACTGAATTTGAGGAATTACTTCAAACATAAAATAAACGGGTAGTACAGGACGATTTAACGAGGAATATTATTAAGTCTCAGTAAGAACAAGTATCAACACTAGGGCTTGTAATTACTAATAACTTTAATGCCGAGTAGTTTGGGCTGTCAGAGATACACATTACGTATGTACATAAATTTAATGATGGCACGAGATAGTCGTACTATATCTGCTATATCTGTCCTAAAACTAAATTGCAATGGCTCAAAGGCGTTAAGTTTTATGAGAAAGATGAACACACAATGTAAATGAAGAAGACAGCTAAAGAATAGACCGATAAAGGTACTGAGAGTTTCAATTTTTTTAATAAAAGGACCTGAACAATATTATTATGGTTTTAAAACTCGTTTGTTGAAGATTCCTCGCCTTTCGCCTTGTTAATTTTGACACACACACTTGAGAGATGAAATCAAAATCATTAGTCTTTAGTTTCTCATTTTGAAGGTCTACTATTTTATTCTTTTGTTCTGAATTAAAACGTCTTTCCTATGTAATTTATTCTAAATTTTTTGATCCGCGAAATTAAATGACAACTTGACAAGAAAATGAAAAGTTATAGTTATTGATTTGAAAAGATACAGGTAGTTGTATAGACATAAAGAATAAAGATTACTTTTTTTTGAGATAGATGCAAGAAATGTGCGGATGTGAAAAACATATATATGGGCGGTTACCGAACCCTTTTAATAAGGAACCCTAAACAACGACTATTTAAGGATCAGAATCATTGGAATTCACTTCCTTGGGCAGCAAATTCCTAGAAAAATGGCCTATAAGGTCGAAAAACTAAAATTTAAACGAGAGATATTCAGTTCCAATTTTCTCATTTTTAGAAAGCCTAATTTTCACCTAAAAATTTTTTTTTTTTTTTTAACCGACCATTTGTGATTCACAGGAGTGTTTTGAATTTATGTAAATTGATGATAAAATAATTTTCCGTTAATCAATTTTTAAATTATTTAAGGCCATACTTCATATGCCCTTAATAATAAGCATTGTTAGTATAAAAAAATGATGCTCTAAAAGCACCAAAAAGTTCTTGAATAAGCTGGAGAATCTTGTTATAATTTTTTATCTTTTATATGGATCTTGATGTGCTCTGTAATAATTTATGTAGGAAACACATACAGCTAATGAATTAATTGGGAATTGATACCAAAACTTACTGAAATCTGTCCAAACAATCCCGAAATCCTTATCTCAGTCTTAAATGAAGAAACAGAATTATTATATGTTGTAAATAGTTCACAATATCAACTTTAAGAAACTTTGGTAGAATTAAAATTATTATGCGAGGAAGCGCGAAATTCGACGGCGCGTCGCGTATTTCCACAGCCGGCTACGTTGTATTGTTCGGTTGTTAATGCGTTACGGTGACGATGGTGGGCGTTTCCAGCGCGTGACGTTTCGCGTGTCTCTGAAAAACCGAACAAACGAACGGACGGACGATCCGGATGCGACTGAACCGAACCGAACCGGCGAGTGTCATCGGATCATCATCGCGCCCGCAGCGTCGCTACGCCACCACCGTCATCGCCGCCGCGGCGCAGATCGCTGGACTCACGCCCTTGTTCGTATCCTCTATTTTCCTTCCACCATCCGTACCTACTACGATATACCACCCTACTTACTCCGAACGTGCTGGTTACACCATCACCGCGGTCGAACCGAGGTCCATGCTTGCACTGCTCGTGTTCGTATTTTAACCATCGAATCGACTAATAATATAATTCGTGCTTATCACACGTATCAAATTCACGTGCACTTATAAATATGAAAATTTAATTTCCGGTTAGTTAGTAACAAATCGAATCGGGTATTTGCTTCGGACTGTCAGAAGATAAGGCGCAAGGCCGTCTTCAGCTTTCTTTTAGAAATCGTGTTGGTTGGAGTAAAAAAAATGAGACAAACGAAATGAACACACACCAGAACAAAGATACGTCATCATCATAAGGTCGTCAGTCCTAAGACCGTTTGGACACGCACCTCCACTTTCTCCTACCCTGAGCTAAGAGAAAGATTATCTATGAAATAATACTGTCCAAGCACTTGCCTAAGTACCTAATCCAAAGAAACTACAGAAAATTTTTGATCGGAGCAGATGGATCTGGAATCGAACCGATCGAACGCTAAGCAATAGTCTAAACCTCTAGATCATACCGCTCGGTGAAAATGAAGATGCAGTTTTATATACATTTTTTTAAAATAACAAAGGAAACATCAAAAATGACTCAAACGCAGAATTCAGTTTCTGACACTGAATCTCACGGCGAGTTTCTTGTGTTTTGTTCAGTTTAATTCCATAAAGGCAAATTTGATTATCTCTCCTTACTGGGTATAACTCTGTATCTATAATCTCGCCTCAGTTGTCTTTGCAACATTTCCAGCATTTCAACCTTTTTGATGATTGTGAATAGTGAATGTAAAATCATCAAAATCGGGTGGGTTTCAAGTCTCGAGTGACTTGAGAGCCATAGATTAAAGTTACGCATTCTGATATTGTTTCTTAAAGTGATACGCATTCCCTTAACTAGTAAATACCTTTTAATCATACGATGAATTTTTTGATGATCAAAGGTATCTACTTACCAAATTGAAGTTACTGTAGTTAGGACGATCAAAATTGGCATAGTCCACAATAAATTGTGTGTGAGAATGGACATTTCCTTTTTCCACCTGAGTTTTGAACACACCCTTGCTATGGTGGGAAATTCTTCATGAGTAGAGATTGCTTAGGTACGCTAAAGACCAGAGTCGTCTTTAAAAGTGCCTGTTCGATATTATATCTTTAAACAAGCATCTTTGCTTCCCTAAATTCCTGAGAATGTTGAACTTCCTTTAAAGTCCGATGCTGGTAAAATGTTAAAATTCTGCTTGTCTATATCTTATTCTCTTACACATCAATTGGTATAATGTTATTCCTTTTTCATTGATAGAGTCCGCTGCAATTCCTATCTGACATCTCTTTTCTATGCTTACGATATTACCTACAACGTCTGTCGTGAGTAAAAGTAGGCGTTAGTAGACCCTAGTATAGAAGAAGTTAGAAAAAAGTAAATGCGACAGTTTTATTGCAAACTATGCCAATTTCAAACGTCTTTACTATAAGTAGCTTAATTTAATTTTTTCGAGCATCATTCTCTTGCTCTTCTACTGCAGATACACAACGAAACCGCCATTACCTTCTGATTTAAGATTAGACAATTAATTAGTAGATTTAATAACAATGGTAGCTGAGAATAACAACCTACCGTCTCGACTAGATATGGCAAAACCGTCTGACTGAACATTCGCCAACTTTATGCTTACTTGCTTGTTATCTTTCCGTTTTCGTAACACACCTACTAGATTGGTGTAGCAACAAACGGCCCCGATGATTTATCTCTCGCCTTTTACTGCAAGCGGGCTTAACAGTGTTACATCTTAGCTGGCTGGTGCGAGGAGCTAGGTAATAAGAAGGGCTGAAGGAAGAGGGTTGGATGGTGTTAGGAAGATAGGTGGAGGTGTGGGGGTGACAACGACAACAAGAGGGAGACGGTTTCGGGGTCCCCTTCGTTATTAGATCACGATATGAGTCACGCATGCACTATCACGGATTAGTAATCGACGTAGGTGTCCAAGATAAGGTTCCGTAAACTAACCACCAGGAAGCAATATTGGAAAGGTTTATATATATGTATGTTACCTATCCTATACTCATCTCTATTTCGTGAAGATAATTAAAGTAAAGTCATGATTTTGCTTGCCGTGCCCACGTTAATATGTCTGTATCTCACCAGGGAAGAGAAGGGGATAATAGACAGTGATCTATTGCCTGGTTGTTTTGGGATGATTCATTAACAATAATTATCTGCGTCCTTTTTTATGAAACCCAGAAATATTATACTATGTGAAAATGTGATTACTAAAGAGCTGGTAAAAGAAAAGTGACAAGATGTCAAGTTTACCGAGCACATACATAGCTTGGTTTATATGGCCTACTATATAGAGGTGGATCCTTACTCACTAATTGTCTTGGCTCTTTATTAAAATAGATATCTTTAAGTTGAGTTCATTAATTCATACACTATAGAGAGAGAGAGAGAGAGAGAGAATACAAAGACGTAATTATTAAATTTACTGTTTCGTGTAATAACAAAATTAGTGTTGGACCCAGCTTTGCTTATAAAAGCCAATGTAGGTCTCTTAAGTTGAATGCTCTGGATATAGCTCCGGTTGCTCCTCAGTTGTGATTTCCGGGTAGAATCCATGCCGTTCAGATAGATCGCATGAGATGAGCCGTAAAGGTATGGGAGAAGGTAAAGCTGTTCGTGTTGTTGTTTGCATTGCAATTCTTCATTGGTTTCTGGCATATAAATTGACCATTGTTTGTATGTAAGGCAGGGTGGCTTCTGATTCAACTATCTGCTGTGATTAGGGGAAAGCCAGTAGTTTCTGTGCTGGCCTAGGTTAACGGGTGTGTTGACGGATACATCCAGGTATGTTGACATATGTGAAACCTATGCCTTGGTAACCATGTGGCTAAGTTTTATACTGCTCTAGACATACACCTTTAACAATCTTTCTCGAATTTCTAAATTAACCGTTCGCGAACATAGAAGTGACTTCTTTTTATTAAAGGCGATTCGACCCTGCGCTATGCTCTGCTTTATATCCCTACTGCTCCTTCTGTCCTGACTCATCTAGTTTCCTAGGTACCTAAAATAGGCCACTTGTTCTAATTTTTTGCCTCCTACCTTTAAATTCCATCTTTCTCTACTTTTTCTTCCCTTGAATACCAGTATTTTTGTTTTACTCTTATTTATTTTCATACAATACTGTTTTGTCAATACCGCTTCCATTGTATTTAAAGCTATCTCTAACTCCTTGCTAGATGCTGATACTGCTATATCATCTGTAAATCTAAGCATACTAATCTTTTGCCCCTGTATATCTATCCCTACAGTTGTACTGTTTTTAATGATGAGTATCGCGTCTTCCATGTATAAATTAAAAAGTAGCGGTGACAGTGTGCATCCCTGTCTGACTCGCTCTTCCTAATATTTACTTCTCTGTGTTGCAAACCCAACTCTATAACTGCCTGCTGCTCTTTATACAAACTATCACTCTTCTATATTTGTATTAAGTATATTAACATCTTGTCCCATTTAACATTGCAAAAAGCTTCTTTAATGTATTTAGCCACTAGATCTATGAACTTTTTAATATATTTCTTACCTGTCTCACCAAGCAACCGTTTACTTGTTTCTATGAGCGGGAAAGGTGTTATTTGGTTGGGTCGCGAAAGGCCAGGCAGTACTATGTCCCACTTCATAGGGCTCACATGTATCACTATCATTTTGTTCCTGTTTAAATGTTAAATAAAGTTCTAGACTCATACACATTCTCACAATTTATTCTCCACCTACGGAGCCACGAAACAAAGCTAAATCTACAAACCCACTCTTTCCTTTTTCTATTTGTATGTCGTTACCCGTAAAGCTAGAATGGCCTCTCTCATTCCTCTATTTCTTCTAAACCCAAATGGATCGTCCCCTAATAGTTCTTCCGCCCTTTTTTCCATCCTCCTCTGTACAATTCTAGTTAAGATTTTTGACGCATGAGAAGCTAATTGTTCTAAATATCTCGCACCTATTCGTGCCTCCACAGATTCTATTTAAATGCAGGTATAAACATGAAAGTCCATTTTCAAGTGAATATTATGGTATATTACAGTGTAAATATGCACACGTAAGTAATACTAAGGAATGTAGAAATATTCAGATCGTAAAGATGCATATGAAAACGGCATTTGCGACAGAGGCACAAAGTAATAATTCTTTATTGCTAGTTGAAAGGAAATACGTCGTTTACTTTATTGCTCCACAAGGATATGGGTTTCCAGTTGGCTGAGAGATAGTGTAGCACCAAGTGGCAACCTCGACAACTACTGCAACGGAATGTTCCTTGCAACTTTACAGGGAGTCGATCGGCGAATTGCTTCATCCACACACTCACACTTAATACTGCCAAACGTAAAACTTTTTTAAGACTTGAGGCCAACTTTGTAAGTTTAACTAACTAAGTACTAACTTACACTTTACAAATTACCTCCATACATACCTGTAGGTATTAGCTGTCTTAAATGGCCTGCTGGTAACAAGAAATCGTACTTAATGCAGTTAAACCCTCTGAACTGATCATCAGATTTATATTTCGGAACGAAGTGCCACATTTTAGATTTTGACAAAGTTTCTCATGCTGCACATCTATAAAGTAGAAGTAGGATGCTGCTCTATTGGGAGAAAATGGTGAATTTATAGCTAAAGTATGGAATTGTCATCGAGTTTTTTAAAAAAATTAAAGTTGCGATAACGTTATGAGTCATAACAGTTGGGGTAGTGTCTTCGGAATAGAAAAAATTGACGAATGTAATCATCAGAAGTTGAGAATGGAGAAACCA